ACACACACACACACACACACACACACACACACACACACACACACACACACGGAATTTATTGGAATGACTTACAGACTGCAGTCCAGTCCAACTAATCCAACAATACTTACCTGTGAATGGAAAATCCAAGAATCTAGTAGTTGCACTGTTCTACAAGATTGGGTGTCTCAGCTGGTGTTTCATATATGCTGGAATCCTGAAAAAGTAGGCTCCAGTACTAGTGAAGGAATGGGTGTGCTGGAAAGGTGAGGGCAAACAGGCAAAGAAGTAGTAAACTTGTCTTAGGGTTTCTATTGCTGTGAAGAGATGCCATGACCACAGCAACTCAGGCAAAGTAATTAATTGGGCTGGCTTACAATTTGAGAGGTTAATCCATTATCATCATGGTGGGACATGGTGGCGTGCAGGCAAACATGATGATGGAGAAGGAGCTGAGAGTTCTACGATTCACAGACATCAGGAAGTATACTGTGTCCTATACTGGGCATAGCTTGAGCATATGAGACCTCAAACCTGCCCACAAAGTGACACACTTCCTGCAGTAAGACCATACCTATGACAACAAAGCCACACTTCCTACTAGCGCCCCTCCCTACAGGCCAAGCATTCAAACACAAGTCTATGGGAGCCATATCTATTCAAACTGTTATCAGAGGCCCCATATGTATGGCAAGCAGGAGCTCTACCAATTAGCTATCATTGTAGAACTCTCCTTTCTATGTAACATGCACCATCTTTATTAGAACAGCTGTGACCACTTGCAAGACACACCTCTGTAGGATTCATATACTTTTAAACAGTTGGTGTGAGTTAATCATCTATAAGTTTGGAGAAACTCTGGAGAGTGTTAGTTCTATGCCCCTCTCTTCAGCTAAGATAGTGTTTGGATCAAGGTAAATTATGTTCTGATTATGACATCTTGCAAGCATAGTAGTATTGTATAAATGGAAGAGCTCAACATCTTGCATGTGTATTGTGCATGTATGTGTGTGCTGTACTTATATGTCCTTATATGTGGAGGTCAGAAGAGGATATCACATGCCATACTTCAATTTCCACTCTTTTCCTTTGACATAGAATTTCTCACTGAACCTGAAGGTAGGTTTGGACCCAGAAAGTTTCAGAGGTTCTCCCTTCTCCAAATCTCAGTGTTGGGATGAACCTGTGGGCACACCCAGCTTTTAACTTTGGTTCTTAAGCTTGTATAGTTGACTCTTTATCCAGTGACCCATCTCTCCATCCCAATCATCCTTTCTAATAAGGAAATCTATGGTTCAATTTTTTTCTCTTTCTGATTCATTTTTGTCAAATCTGTAGTTCTCCAAGCCTTTGTTTTCATAAGTGTATAATGGGAATAGTAATAGCCTTCTTATTTTTTTGTGTCATGAATAAATAAGTCAAATTTAATGTTCAGTCAGTGTAAGATGTTTTAATAACTATAGTGCTATCATTATGATTATTTAAGTTTTTCTGATGTTTAATTTTTTTGAGTATTATTTAAGCATTTCCTGTCATGGCATCTGAAATCTGAGAAATACATAACGTTTGGGTACCACTTTGTTGACTTCATACACTTTTTATTTATGGGACAGAGTTCAACTCAGCTTCTGTTCTGAGGATGCATACTATAGTTTATACACATGCTAAAGATCGCAAAGTAGCAATTAATTGATTCATAGTTATATAATTACTGTCATAAATTGTCTACCGCTGCGGTAAACACCATGACTAAAAGCACCTTGGGATGGAAAGTGCTTATTTTGCTTATTCTTCCTGGTGATAGTCCATCACTGAGAGAAGTCATAGTAAGAACTCAAGGAGAACAGGCACTTGGAGGCAGGAACTATTACAGAGGTCATGGTTCACTTCCTTACTTCTCAGGACTTGCTCAGCCTGCATTCTTACAGTATTCAGGATCAAGCCCAGGAGTGGCTGGCTCCATTTATTACTTCAAGATAATACCTCACGGACTTATAGGCAAATCTTAATGGAGGCATATTCTGAATTAACCTTCTTTCTTCTTAGATGACTCTAGTTTGTGTCAAGTTGACAAAAAAGTCAACCAGGACAATGACTAACGTGAAGAGTAGAACATTAAGAGTTCACATTTAGAAATGAGGGTTAGTATTCGATGTTTTTCTAACGTGCTCTCCTCTCAATCATTTGAGAATCATTTAGCATGGTAATTCCTGACCATTGCTCAGGAAGACTTTCATATTCTTTTGTCATATTAGTATTAGTGAATAGTAAGTACTCACAGACACACTATAATTAAACATGAGATGGCTGCAGAGTTGGCTCAGAGGTTAAGAGCACTGACTATTCTTCCAGAGGTTCAGAGTTCAATTCTCAGCAACCACATAGTAGCTTACAACCATCTGTAATGAGATCCATAATGAGATCTGTATGCCTACACACCAGAACACTGTATATATGATAGATAAATAAATATTAAAAAATAATTGGACATGAGATTTTAGAAGAAATTTTAATATGACATAAAAAGTTTATTTTTAAAATCATGTAGAATTAAAGAATCTTTAAATATGAAGGATAATACTTTATGTTTTACTAAACTTTGAGGTGAGGAATAGAAGAAAAATAGTATTCCTGGCTATTTATGAATTACTCAAAATGAGTGGTAGAAAGACAAAATTATTCTGTAATATTTTGACATTTTTGGCATACAAAATTATTCTGTATTGTAAATGACATTGTTCAGTGCTTTGGTTCTTTCGTATATAGCCTTTCATGCATGGTGCAAAATTTTGTTCGCACCTCTTATTCACGATATTCCTATCCATACAATGAGGGTAGTAACATTTATATCATAATCTTTTGTGAAAATTGAATTCATTTGTATGTATAACATGATGCAAGTCTTCAGTAATGTTGACTGATTGCAGATTTTCCTATGAAATTTAGTTTTCACCTCCAACCTATGAGGTTTCACCTCAGCCTATGGGACTTTACCCCAACAATGAGGATAGCAATGTCTGTATTAGGGTCTTCTGTGGAGACTGACTTGTTTATATAGTGAGTTCCGAGTAAATGTTAATTCATGAGAGATGATCCCTCACCTTTATCTCTTCTCCCCATGTCTTCATCAGTATTATATTCTCTAGGGTTCTCTGCTTGTATGGTCCTCCCCACCGCTTTATGATAAAACCAGGGTTGACCATTAACATTAAAGTTTCTCAGCTTCTATATTAATAACAGTCTTCCAGTAGAGAGATTAATATCTACTTTTTGATTAAACCCCTCTGCCTTTCTTCTAAGAAATTGCGTTCTAGCTTACAGACTCTCTTGTCCTGCTCTAGTTTCAGCTCCTCACTCAGGCAGGTTTCTCTGTAAATATCTGTGCCAAAATAAGTTAAACTTGTTTTAAAATATGAAATTTATTGTGTTTTCTAAAACTGAACATGATCTTCAAACTTCCTCTTGAGTTTTATGTAATAATTTATCCGTTTAGTTTCATGTCTTGAGTCCTACTAATCAAGATCTGTTTGTAAGTATCATTATGAGAGTTCAGCCCTTTTATTTTAAAATTGCATCCTTTTACCTTTTAAATACTGAACTCTGAAACCTAACACACATACTGTAAGAATATCTGAGGTAGATAATTAAAGTATAATTAACTTTAAATGCCTTGGTGAAGGAATATAAAAATTATTTAAATTCAATCAGCTAGTACATTTGCAGTTCTCTTTTATTAGGTGTGAAAGCTAAGAATCCCCTGCCAACTCTTGAGGGCTCAATCCAGAATGTTGAGCTGAAGTACTGCAGCACATCATTGGTCAGATGTGCCTCTGGGACTGTGGGATCCATAAAAATCTGTGCCAAAGCCCCAGGTATGTGCAGCTGTGCTGTGTAAAACTTTATTGCCTCTGTAGGAGAATCGGCCTCACCTTTTACAAGGAGCATTTGCTGAAACAAGAATTTACTCATTGTTCCTGGGAATCAGAGCTTTCCATTGTTTTATTTGTACTTAATATTTTAAACAGTTCAGGGATGATACTTACCAATTACTTTGGATTTAAGGTGAAGAACTTTGCATAGTTTTAATAGTAGCTATGAGGAACATATTAAAAGAATATTCATTGTTACAGTTTTAACAGAAATGTGAAATGATAATGTATGATAATTAAATATTGAATGAAAATGTTAGCAGAGTGGGTTTAAACACATCTTGATTTTAGAAAAGTTAGTTTGTAGTTGTGTTCCTGTCTTCAGTGTTTTGTTTTGTAATGTTCTCTGTAAGCTATTTGCAGTTCTTTTTAGCAACCTTAAATTCTATTATATCATAGTACGTATTTTGCTGAAGTGTGTCTCTATCATTTCATTTTATAAACTGTTCTGAACATGCTCTACATTTATTAGCAAAGCGTCAAAACTTAGTTTAACAGCCAAAATAGCTTTATCAGTCACCCTTTAGATTATTAACTAGATAGACAGTTAAAGTGACAACTATTGATTAATCATTGTTGTAGTGATATAGTTTAAAATCAGTCATCTCCAAACTAGTATATTTTACATAAATACTATTTTTAATTTTTTTTTCAATCAATATTCTGTTCAGGCGACAGTGGAAAAGAAAAGTTGATTCCTTTGCTTCAGGGCCCTTCTGACACTCGAGACCTTCACAGTACCAAGTGGCTCAATGAAAGCAGAAAGCCGGAGTCACTCCTAGCCCCAGATCTGATCGCGTTCACCACCCAGGTTCCTCAGCACATGGATGACTGCCACCTTTCCGGTACGTGCAGCCTACCAGGCTTCCTGCATTTGCTCTTTAATTTTTACCAATGTCTTTAAATGTGTACCTTTATGTCAATTTATGTTTGCTGGGATATACTCTGAGGTTACTTTTTTCTAAAATTTTGTTTCTTTCATATGAGTATTGATAAATTAAGTGTTTATGAATTATGATTTTATGAGGAATTCAAACTCCATGTGTATCTTGCAACCAAAGGATTGTGTGTGTGTGTGTGTGTGTGTGTGTGTGTTTTAGTTTTCAGCTTTTTCTGTAAGGCAGATTTTCTAATGCTGCAGTGCTTTGGCTGTGACCCACAGTTTACCATATTAAAATGGCACATTTGGGCCACTCATAGCTTTTTTTCAAAGTAAAAGACTTCGATACTAAAATTAAAAAAAAAACTAAAAAAAATATACCAACTCAGGAGATGTGATTTCTTTTCTTAGATTGTTTTTATTGTTTTGCATTAACATCTATCAGAATCTTAGCTGTCTTGTTGAGAGCCAGTATCATAAGTTTGAATGGGGGCCAGGAAAGAAAAATGAGAAGACAATGTCGGAATTAGCCATGTGTACAATGATGTGCTTGGTAAACCCAGGATAACTATTGGTGCTAGAAATGAGGGGTCCTTCAAAGATTTCAGTGAGCTTTCAGATGGTGCAGAAGAGGGGAGCTCTGTTGACATCATATGGGAAATACAAAAGGAAGCATATGCTAATACATCCAACACAGAAATTTGAAAAGATTTATAATTGGCCAGACAATAAGTATGTGTAGACAGAGACTAAGGAAACAAATGGTTACAGATTCAGGACTGTCATAGAGATGTGAAATTAAGTTTTGTTACGGTGTATATGCAGCTGAGTCATTAGCCACATTCTAAACTGGAAATTAGTAGTTCGAAAAACTAGCTTAAAATGCCTTACCACGATACTGGCAAAGAGAAGATTTCAGAAAGAAGGAGTTATTTACAAAGCAGCATGTTCGCAGCACACAGCCAGATGCCCAGACCCATGAACAGCATAGAAGACCCAATGATGATCCCATACAACTAAAGCAGTCTATATTTTGCGAAAGGTATCTAAAACATGCTCCAGAAACAATGGTAACCATTTAACAAATGTTGCTGGTGAAAACTGAATATGCACACACACACACAGAAAACCAAAAGTTTTCTCATCCAGCTTTGAAACTGTTGGGGTAAGTAGAAAGGAAGCATTGACTCCTTAGAACTCCTAGCATCCCAGAAATAACAGGAACAACTGAGCAATTGAGAAATATGATCCCATGAAGTTAAACAGCTTCTGCACAGTAAAAAGTATAGGAGTAGTACAGGACCTGCTACTCAGAGGACTCTGAGCATCCTGGAGATAACAGGAGCAATTGATGGATATGATCATGAAGTTACAAGCATTTATGCACAACAATAGGAATAGTCAGCAGAGAGAAGACACTGATGAGAATCAGAAACTTTTCTCTAGATATTCACAGTGCAGGGAAGTATTAGCATGGAGTATGCGACAAATGAAATCAAGTGTCAAAAGAGCAAATAATGCAGTTAGTAAGTGGACAAATGAGTGCCACAGATACTTACCTAGTGATAAAGAACATCGGCCAATAAGCACATGAAAACAGGTTCAGAATCTTTAGCCCTTTTGGAAATCCATATTTACTACACTGGAATTCTGTCTTATCACAGTCAGAATTAAACTATTCTTTTTGTAATATCTAATCCAATACAAATACAGTATAGATACAGTATTGAGGAAATAATGATGGGAAAGGTATTTGTACATGTCCTTTCTGAATTTTTATCAGTCACAAGACATAAACAAGTGTTCACATGGATGCAGAAAAGGATTGGCAGTATATGTTGTTGAGGATGTAGATTGGTATAGTCACTGTAGAAATCAGTTTAGAGGTTTTCTGCTGACAGTAAAAAAAATGGAAGTGTTTTCTGATTCAGCTGTCCCATTTCTAGATATGCCTTAAAGAGTCATTCTGGGCTGCAGAACTCTTTTGTGCCCATGGCTATTTTCATGTTATTAACAAAGTCATGTTGTGGGATCAATACATATCCATATATGCTCATTTCTGGATGAATGGGTGAAGAAAATGCACGCGCGCGCATACACACACACACACACACACACACACACACACACACACACACGGAATTGCAATAAAGTGAAGCACTTTGACAGTTAATAAATCTCAATAAAGAAAAGCAGTGTGCTTCTTTAAGATTTATCTTTAAAGAGAAAGACCTTAGATTCTAATAGTAGTGTGTTCAGCAAGACTGATACAAGCATGAGATGTTATCTATAGATAAAATATTTTTCCTGGTATTTAAGGGTAGAGTTTTTGTGAATCAAATGGTCTTTTAACTGCCCTGCTCTTACAGCACAAAAATTCCCATTGGCAGAACATGAAGCTGTGAGTGTGACTGCATTCTAATACAACTTTATTTGCTAAGATGGAAAGTGGCTAGTATGGCCTTTGGCTTTCCCTAGCTCTGTACAGATAGGTAGACCTGGTGATACAATAAACCACCTTTGTTAATGTCTGTTTAATTATATTTTAAAAATGTGTATTATAGTAGGCACTTTTGCACAATTATCTGTGTTGTACTTTTGGTTAGTATTTGTGTTTGAGTCCTGAAATCATCAGGGTATTGAGCTCACAAGACCATCTGGGTTCTGTGCTGCCATTTAGTAAAGCATGGGTGTTGTTTGTATCTGCCATTTACTGTTGAGTTAAACAGTCTTCTACTTTTTTTGTTTTGCCACATACGGAATTAGAATAATGAGATGAGCATATTTAAGTGATAACACAATCTTTTTTCTAACAATATTAGTGTTATACCTCATAGTTAAAGGCCATTCTTAGGGTTACAGATTGATTTGCCTCTCAAGAAGTTTTCAAACACTCTAAAAACAAACTAGTATAAGAATAATTATCTGTGACACTTAGTGCGTTTATCAGTACAAGTTTTATAATTTCTCATGGTGTTAGGGAAATTCACATAGTCTTTAGATTTATGTTTGGTGATATTTTTATGGATTTGTGTGTAAAATGTTAATGCAATCATGCATTTGGTTTTTAAAGAACTCTTTTGTCCTTGTTTTTTACTCCCTAAATATAATGTATTTTTTGTTTCTATATTTGGGTTATCTTAAAATACAGAATTTCTACCCACTTTGGAAATACCAACTACATTCATGGCTAGGATATAGTAAGGAACTCATAAATATTTTTATAGAGCCAGTTTCAGTATGAGTTGGATTAGTCTTTTGAACAGCAAACTGGATTTGAATCAAATGTGTGCATATGTCCTTGGGTATCACTGATGTGGCAGCCACGTCATAAGTCAAGATGTTTGGATGAGAGGTATTAAACTGCCCTTTCCAGACAGACCCCCGCCTGACTGGACATGCACGCATCCTCTGCATACTGCCTCGGACCCTTGCTTGTGTAGCTGTTGGTCCTGTTGCTGATCAAGGCCTTTTTTCCTTGGTGTCTTCCTCCCCCCTGACTGTCACAGTCTTTCTGTCTCCTCTGCTACAGAGTTCCCTGATCCCGAGGGGGAAGGGTTTGGTGGAGACATCTCATTTAGGACCTAGTGCTCCAAGGTCTCTTACTTTGTCCAGGGTCCAGTTGTGGTTTTCCTGTATTTGTTCCCACCTATTGGAGGAAGAAACTTCTCTGATGATGCTGTGCTCTGACCTGTGAGCACAGCAGATCACTGTTAGAAACTCTAGCAGAAGAGGGCTGGTCCTGGGCCGTGATGGCTGGCCAACCCAGAACACTCAGTGGTGACATTCACAGTGCTTTGTCTCACAGTGCTTTGCGTGTTTTTTTTTCCTTTGAACCTTATAGATCTTTTATTTATATGTTATGGTTTCCGATTTTGTTTTTATGGGGTTTCTGTGTGTGCAAATTTTCTTCCCAGGTTCTATATGTGTTTCTTGTGTTTTTTCTTTGGCTCTTTTGTTTGTTTTGCTTCATTTTTCTAGTTTGTTTCTTTTAATTTTTATTTATTATTATTTTAGCTGCCCTTTTGTATTCTAATGAGAGAAAAAAATGGATTTAGATGAATAAGGAAGTTTGGAGGATCTTGGAGGAATTAGGGGAGGAAAAACATAATCAGAATATGGGGGGATAATCTGTTTTCAGTTGAAGAAGTTCCTAACTTTGAAGCATCCCCATTTCCCTTTGTGGCATTGTCAGAAAGCCTCACTTCAGCATTGCACAGCATGACTTGCCTTTGCAGGTTTAACAGCTCTCCCTGCGCCCTCCCTGCATGCTCTCTACACTTGACAGTGTTTACCTGCGGGGATGGTTCTTGTGGGCGCCCAGCGTGCCAGTTCACGTGGTGTCCTGGTCCCTTTTTGGAAGGACTGCTAAATGATGTGAGCATTTTTATGTTCATGTAAGTTATTGAAAGTAGACGTGCACCACAGGTTTTTCTGTGACTTTTTCATAAGTCAAAACATTTTATCACTGTAATTTATTTGTAGATAATATTTTAAAATGAGTTTTAGGTAAACCCTTAATCTCTTTTATATAGGTCCTCACTTTTTTTTTGTATTTTGTGTTTTGCCCATGATTTTATAACATTTGCTTGCTATAAAACTCTGTGTTTTTATTAAGTGTGGGTTATAAATAGGAGTTGGTCTTAGAGTGTGTGCTATGTAGAAGTAGAGACAATTATGAAGGACTGTTCACACTTCAGGTTTGCCCTCCCTGAGCACTGCAGTGTCAGGAGACCTTTTCACACATGGCCCCTCTGTAGGCTCAGGTCTACTGGCCTGTGTGCTCTCTTTGTTTCTCACTATAATTATATGGAATTATAGTTTGCATATGGTGTTTTTTTTTCTGTTGACAAATCTTAACATCTATCCTTGTTTTTCTTTTTCTCTGCTTAGAACCAGTTCTGTCTTAAAATATCTATGCAGTTCCTGCCTCTTTTTCTGAGCTCCTCAGTCTCTCTGCTCCCC